ATAGAGACCTTTGGGACGCAGTAATAGAACTCCGCAGACGTCTTCTGGAGAATAACCTACAGAAGCTGGAGATTCCGAAGCTTGGTTGTGGACTGGACAACCTATATTGGAGGATCGTACGGAACATGATCGAAGTCCTGTTTCGCCGTACTGGAATAGACATTTTGGTTTGCAGTAATTAATAACCCGAATCGGACCAATCATGAGAAGACCGTGGACTGTTACTTCTATTCCCGAAGTGGATGTCGTGAAGGCGAGAATTGCAGATTCCGGCATGATCCTGCGAAACGGAAAGTAAAAATGTTTCGGGACGAAACATCCTTAAGGAGGGGGCAGTGTAGCGACCACGAACGTGATTGTGTGCGATCGGGCATACGTGTATGTGAGCGGCTTATCGATTCGCCGACTAGCCGCGGGCGCTTTTCTTCATGTGAGCCGTATCTGTAAACGTGTGTGTCGTACCTGTGTTCCGGAAAAGCAATTAAACCGTTCAAAGAAAACGAGACTTCTCTGGACGGCAGGAGAATGTTCCCGAAAGAAGGCAAGGGAGTATAAAAAGGAAGAGACGATCGCCGAAGTGGAGTAGAAATAAATTGACCGTTGTAGAAGTGAAAGAGTAGAAATAAATTGACCGTTGTAGAAGTGAAAGAGTAGAAATAAATTGACCGTTGCAGAAGTGAAATAAATAGAACAGTGAATGGTAACAGTAGTGTAAATAAATAGAATAATTACCGAAGTTTAGTAGTAATTAAGTTTAATAGTAATTAGTGTAAATAAATAGTTTTCTTCTTAAAATTTAATTTGTTAAAACCACGAACATTACAACTGGTGTCAGGTGTGGGGTTGAGTGAAAGACATTACAATGGCAAAGAAGTTATACGAATTAAAAGTAGCCGAGTTAAGAAGAGAATTGGAACGACGGGATGAAGCTACAAGCGGTAACAAAGCGGAACTTCAGTGGCGGCTCGCGGAGGCGTTGAAAAAGGATGGCCATGATTCTGAAATGTTCCTATTCGAAGACGAATTGTCGCAAATGATGAAAAATTTGGAAAGCAAATTAGAAGAAAGTAGTAAAAATTTAGAAAAACTGAAAATAGTAAAAGTTTGAAACGTTAATTAGAAGAACACAGTAAAAGTTTGGAAAATAAGTTGAAAGAAAAATTAGAAGAAAATAGTAAAAGTTTGGAAAATAAATTGGAAAAAAAATTGCAGGAAAATAGTAAAAGTTTGGAACGTGAATGGGAAGAAAAATTTAATAAGAATGTTCAATAAACAGAAGAAAATCGAAGGGGATGTTGGCACATCTAGTACACTCAACGAAGCCAGCTAAGGAAGCGGTATAGAGTCAAGAACACGAGTAAAACCACCAACGTTCGACGGAATGTCCTTGTGGACCACATACCACAAGCAATTCGAGGCGGCTGCTAAGGCGAATAACTGGGCGCCTGAAGAAAAAGCCACTGCGTTGACCGTTGCTCTTCGTGGAGATGCATGTGACATTTTGAACACCCTTTCCCCGGAAGAGTTGGCNTAGGTTAGGTTAGGTTACTACCCTATTTTTTTAAATACTTCTATAAGTTTTACAGGTAATTAAAACTAACCTATAATAAAGTTGTTTTTATGTTTAATAGTAATTAGTGTAAATAAATAGTTTTCTTCTTAAAATTTAATTTGTTAAACCCACGAACATTACAATACAGTATCCTAGGGTGGATACTATTGCAGTATCCAAATAAGAATGAGCCTTGTGTTAGACTAGTTTAATGAGTTATTTACATCCTATTTATACTACATTTATTTACATTGGTCTTATGGTACTATATGTTTTAGCAGTTTGCGTTTGTATGTTTAAATGTTTAAATGTCTATGACCTAGTGTGTCGGCACGAATGAAGCACTTTAATTGTTACACATTTGAATTATTGTTGATATACAGAGTGTTCCCACATTTGTGATAATTACTTGGTATCTTTAAATAAGTTATCATATTTACATTGACTTATTCCGATCCAATACCAAAGCAACTTTAAAAGATAGGAGGCAAACATTACACCTGATACCACTTTGAATTCAAAAATTTAAAAGGGGATTAAATTTTGAAATACAATATACAATACACAATGAAACATGGGACCGGACCGTCAATTAGTGACAATAGATAGGAAGATGGTTGTTATTAAAAAGTCATCGTTATGCTGACTTTTAGCAGTAACAAATAATAGTCAAGACAGGCCTACTTCGCACATTTGTCACCAGGAAGAAATCTCAGGCAAAATCAAGAACTAAAGGAAAAGTAAAAGTTACAAAAAAGGTCAAACCTAGTCGTTACTTTTGGATCTAAGAAACTTTTTAAAAATCATTCAGATGATACTTAATCCTCTGAAAGTACAAATATCAGCTTTACTGGTAGTACGTATACAGAGACGTTTTCAGATATGTCCGAGATTACGGTAGACAAGACTCTCTGAGTGAGGCGCCATGAAAAGAACAAAATGCCTCTCGCAATTTACTATGAAGAAAGGTAGTACATAAGCCAAACTATACAGGTTTACTTATCCATTAACAATAAATTGCATTGTTCCAAGATAACAACACCCTTTGCAGAGGGAACGGCAATAAGATCTACCTACGTACCTAAAAACAACTAAAAGTGAACTATCGACTGTTGGCTACATTTTTTAAACTACCATTTTAACTATGTCTATCTTTCGACCTACGTAAATTTTTTTAATATTTCTTTGTTAATGGCTATATACTGTTGTTATTAAAAATTTTGTATATAACTGTCTCCAGGTGGTTTTTAATTATTTATTTACTGTTTTAATAGTACAACGTTTTTAAAACAATCGTTATGTTAAGTTTTTAGAGTTTTATCTACACAAAAAAATCTTTATTGTCGTGTATCTCTGAGCATGCTCTTTACCAAATTTCGTCAGTATTACATTTTCGACTAAATAAAACTAGGTAAGCTTTAAAGAACAAAAGGATCAATTGTAGCTCAGTGTGCATTAAAATATCAATTACACTATATTGTAGGTTTGAAAAAGGCCAACAACTTGGGCGAAACGTTGGCTGTGGTTTTCTAAATTAAATAAATTTAAACCCCAATATTGCATTGATCAAAAAGAATTTATTAAATATATATAAAATATCAGCTTCTAAAAAACCATATCTCTAATAACTTTTTAAAGCATAGAAAATTAAGATTTTCATATATATTCAGACTTTCAAAAATTCATATTCTAATGTTCGTGGATTTAACAAAATTAACTTAATACTGATAACGACAAAAACTATTTATTTGAATTAATTATTAAAGAACTTAAAAACACTATTCACTGCGCCATTTATTTCACTGCTATCACTGTCAATTTATTTCTGGGTTCACTTCTGCAACGGTCAATTTATTTCTACTCTTCTCGACTATCGTCTCTTCCTTTAAATACTCTTTTGTTTGCGTTAGAAACATCCGGATCGTTTAGTTTTTTTTTGAACTGTTTAACTGCCCGATCGCACACAAACACGCTCGTGCTCGCAACAATATCTTGGAAAATCTTAACTTTACAAAAAACTCAAACCTTTTTTATCGCGATTAAACCGAACAATATAAAAAAATTGTTCCGACAAACACAAAAGTTTTTGTTATTTGTTTAAACAATCGTGATTGATTTAAACAATACCGACCGGGTTACCGACTTGCAACGCACATTGTATTTAGGAGAATCTTCCGACCAAAATTAATCTGAATAATTTTCCCCACTCACCCACCCATATTGCCTGGACTAATATAAAATTAGACTATAGAATCAATAGAATTATGGAAGATTATAACAAAACAAAAAATTTGCAAAAATGTTTAGAACAACTTGCGTATGTTAAAAAATTAGAATCATTGTACATATCATAAAATATAATAAAACGTTTAGTTTTAATTTTCGTTTTTTACTTGGTTCTTTTCAGGTATTTTGTTTCGTTTAACATATTTTGTTATATCCTCGGAAATATTTTATGAAAAATTGCATTAAAAGAAACAAAATATTGGGTTAGATTAGGTTGCGGTATTTGAATGTTTTTCGCAATTTTTTAGTCACAATACCTTACTGTAGGTTAGGTTAGGTTACTACCCTATTTTTTTAAATACTTCTATAAGTTTTACAGGTAATTAAAACTAACCTATAATAAAGTATTGTGATTGTAAAAAGATAAGGGCGGAAAACGTTCAAATACGGTAACCTAACTGGACTTTCTATATCGTAAAATTCTTATTTGTGAATACCGCGAACTCATTGAAAATTTTTAGACGTAATTAAGGTGATGTTCCCCATTGCGGAGATTTTCCCTCAAAATTATCTTAATATTTTCATTATTTTGTAGCTATTCTATTATCCTTGTTTGTAAATAGTTTTTGACTACAAAATAAGGCACCGAAAGAATTAAATAAAAATTTCAACCCTTCATAATTTTTTTATACGGAGTAGTTGGCGGCTAATTTCTTTGGATTCCTGTCAAGAACACCTCCTAGCACAATGGGGTCATTAAGGCATAAATGACTATTTCTTTTCTTATGGACATGCTTAGGATAGCAGAAGGCAAGGTGAAAATTGTCGTGGTCATGCTCTTAGTTTTATTTCATAGTCAACCTATAATTATATGTATGTATAATCATATTAACACGCATGTGTTTCGCTGTTAGTGAGGCAACTGGTAGAATCCACTACTTATACGACATCCTGAGCAATTCCCGTCCATTGGTTCATTTGTTGGTCGAAGTCGACTAAATATTTTAGGATGATCATTTTGATATCCGGTACACAAATTTACTTAAACACTATTTTGTTCTACAACGTTCTTTTTAAACAGTAGAATGGATCTTTATTTTTCTATGCTTTTAATATGTGATCTCTATATCACCGCCATGCAAATCTGTGTACAACCCGTAAAATAATAACACCATAACAAGAAATATTCGATTTGTGATACAGTCTGCATTATTCTCCCTAGTTACATAGAACCCTTTCTGCTGATGTAGGAGATAATTCGATAAACCTTTCATGTTGTGCGCTGAAACTGGAACAAACCGATATAAAAATAGGGAATCCATCGATACCTAAACAGGTCGATAAAATTATCGACCGTAGTATCGAAATAGAAAGCAATAAATGGATGAGAAGTGCAAATGTAAATCCATGGCTCCTCAGGTTTAAAGATCCCGAAATGGAAAAGGAAGTACTGGAGTATATTGGAACTAATTCTAAAAGTATTTATAATTCATTTTTTTTATTTTTCAGTTTAACCAATTGAGGGAGGATATGTTCAAATCGAACATGCTCTGCTGTTATGTTATTTGGATATTTATGGTAATTTGCCAGCTTACAATGCTCTCCCAGTAAGTACTTACTGTGCAGTTACGCATTTACTTCTTTACAAACGTATTTTATTTTATTTGGTCCTAACCGGATTACTAGCTCTTTACATATTTAATAAAGGAAGTAGCATTATTGGTTAATGAAAAATTTAAAAAAAATACAACAAAGACTTTTAAAAATTTTATTAATATTTAAAACGAGCATTGGGCAATAAAAAAATTTGCTGAATATATTGCCCTGTTGGAAGCAGTAACTCCAAACATATTAAGGTACATATCCATTATGTTAACGAAAATCTCAAGCATTTAAGTCTGAAAATAATGTTGCAGATTTATTGGCAAAAGCATTAGGGAATGTTAAATTCATTAAATTTGGAGAGTTTTTAGATATAAAGGTATAAAGCAAGATATGCAGAAATAAGTTTAGAACAAGTTGATTTATAGAATTACTTAGGGTTACAGTTACTTATTTGTTGCAATATAAATGTATTGTAATGTTCGTGGGTTTAGAAAATTAAACTTCTAAGACGAAAACTATTTATTTACACTAATTATTATTGAATTTAAAAACACTATTAAATTATTACTAAACTTAGGTAATTATTCTATTTATTTACACTACTGTCACGATTCACTGTGCTATTTATTTCTTGATTTACTTCTGAGACGGTCAATTTATTTCTACTTCGGCGATCGTCTCTTCATTTAAATACTCCCTTGCTTCCTTTCGGGAACTTTCTCGAGCCGTCCGGAAAAGTTTCGTTTTCTTTGAACTGTTTAATTGCTTTCCCGGAACGCAGGTACGACACACACGTTTACAGATACGGCGCACATGAAGAAAAGCGCGCGGCTAGTCGGAAAATCGATAAGCCGCTCATACACACGTATGCCCGATCGCAGACAAACACACTCGTGCTCGCTACAGTATGAAGGCGTGTTGATATAATGTACTTTTATATTAGCAACACTAGGTTAGTTTTTGTTTTATTTTTGTTGCTAAGATCTATTATCACTAAATAGTAATATGGCTGATATGGTGTAGCAGCGCATAGTTCAGACAAATGTCATTAGTTTTCTCTAAATAAATATAATTTAAAACGTCCAAGTTAGTTGTATTTTTTCTAATAATAAGAATAGCCACTAAATAAAAGTAATAAAATAATGTAATAATTCCTTTTTTTTTCAACATTTCTTTAAAATGATTGGTGTAACAGAAGAAAATAAATTTTCATATTTTCAGTCAGATGAACATCTACAGAAGATGTAATCAAAGCCTGTAGGAGATGACAGTCATTATAAAACAAGAACATTTAGTAAATATACGAATTAAAAATCCCGAATTTCACTTCACAAAACTTTTTATAATTACGTTTGGAAAACAGTTAATAAGTACTTGTAAATGGTCCTTTTTGGAAATGTTACCAATAAAAAAAAATTGCTCCTCATTACTAAATATTGTCCCTGCCCCCACTGTTACATAGGTATATAGTAATATTAGCTGACATGCAAATTTATGTTAAAGTTGTTTGTATAAAAGCCGAATATAACAGTTTGGCGAAATAATTTTGTTTTACAATTAGTGTCCCTATTATTTCACCCAAGCAGCAATAGACTTTATTTTATATTATAAATACACGTATATAACAAACCTTAATATACACTCCCTTAATTTTTCAGATATATTGCTGTTGTCGTAAGTCTGTTAATAACAACCGCCCTTTTAAGTTGTACAACAATTCTTGTCATGGCAGAGGAGTTCAATGAGTTTCCAAAATCGCTTCAAAAAATTTCATCCATATTGGTCCACAACCACAGATGTCGAACAGCCTTTGTATGTGCAATAATATTAACAATGTCAGTAATGTCATCCATTGGCCTTTTCGTAATGGACGTTAACAAAGTAGGGAACTTCTCAATCAATAATATAACAAACGATTCAACGCACATTATGTACACAGCATACCATTTATCAAGTGTACCACCAAAGAATTCAAGCAAAGAAGAAATAAGTTCCACTTTAATCAAAACTGAAATAAGAGTAAATACTATCATTCAAGGAAACATAACAATTATTCCTCTCCAAGAACGTTTAAACCGTAAAAATTATACTATAAAATTATCTTATTTGAATAATATAGAACACAATGATTCCATAAGGAAAATAAGAGAAATTTTGATGTTTTCTACAAATAACTCTAATAAAGAGAAAGAAGAAAATTTTATTGACAATAATGTTGTAAATAATCGAAACGTGGATTTCTGTTATCAAGTCGAATACATAGTATTTACTTGGGTTTTAAGTTTAATTGCTTTAACAACAGCCCTTAAATTATTTTACTTAATAAAAATATGCTTGGCAATAGTAATGATTGGAGGTTATACATTACTTATAATGTACACATTCAATGATATATTTGAAGATGGATCTAATACCGATAATGAGTAAGTAGTCACCAGTATCAGTGTATGAAGCATATAGATACAAGTTGACGTTTTGTGTAAAACGAAAAAAATCTCGTGAGTTAATAAATGAAGCTGCAGTTTCCAAATTTCCATGTTCGATTTATACTAATTATAAGAGCATCCATGCACCTAGAGCTTTATTGATCTTTAAATGTCTCTAGATCCTTCCCTTTTTTCTTTTTGACGACTGATAGTGTTAGTTAATAACATTGCTTCCAATGTCATACAACACCAAACACACAAAGGAAACCAAACACTTGCTATTTTAAAAAATAAACTAAAATCATGTCGAGATTTCCAGAGCTGGGGGTTTCTTATTTTCTTTTCTAATGACTCCCCTGCTTAACAGCAGTCGGCAGTCCAGTATTTCGCTATAAACTATAAAACGCAACAACAATCCAAAGATCAATAAACCCTTCTGACTGTAAAAACTTTAATACATGTCCGAAGGCTATAAACGGCTTTAATAAATAAACCATTAATTAATTTAACAATTTACAAAAGCCCAAAAACGACACCGATCACAGTTTACGGGAACACACAAAGATAATAAATAAATACAGTACACAATTAAAGCAAAAAGAAAACTCGTGCGACTCCTGTCAAAATGGCTGAGACCTAGAGACGTTGAACAATATGGGTAGTTTAATCATCAGGATGAATTCTGAACATGAAAGACGATCAACGCAGCCAAATGATAACTACTGAAGATTTAACGCGGCGCATCTGCCTTGTTGAGGATTACCCACGCGCAAAACCGGCACATTTGCGCCAGGATCATAAGAACTTTTTGAGGTCACCCTCTGACAGAGACATTGGTCTCAAGTCTCAAGAAGTCATCGAGGATTACTGTGATGAACTGGGAGCCCCGCTGCACAGCTCCTCAAATGAACATACGGGCTATCAACTAACTGCCCTCTCGAGTTTGACATCAGTTGGCGAAGGAAAAGCCGAAGCTAGACTGATGGGCACCCGTACTCTCGAGGTAACACTATGAGCATTTCGGCGGATATCAGCTATTTCAGAATGCACCTTCATTTGCCGTATTCGTGCAATCACCGAACACCTTTCAGGGTTCCTGGCTAGCTCAAGCAACTATGCTTTTCTTGTCTATTGTCCTACCGACCGAAAATGTGCAGCCCCCCCTAATTGAACAGGCCGCACACACGGTCCACGTAAAGCTGCTCTATTCTACACCCTTCACATCGTAAGCCCCCCAAATTGGTCAGGTTCTCATGCGAATGTGTTGATGACCGCACCGACGGACAAGCTTTGTTGATGTGGGTAGGTTATTCATTCAGGTCAACCTACTGCGTATGTGCTGAGATTTCGCTGTCACGTACTTCTTGTCAGGATTTCGGTGGCTTGCTGCGGCACAACAAATGAGCATTTTTGATAGATAAAAAGCATTCTTTTAGGGTAACTAAAAAAGTCTTCTAATGATACCTGATAAATAATTAAATAAGTTAATCTCATACTTATTCTTATTTATGGAAAAACGTATAAAATAGCAGAGAATTCCCAATTAGTCTGTGTGAAAACAATTACCCGTTTCACCTCCGCAACTCACTTCTGACTCGCTTCTGATAATTCTTAAAGTTGGTTGATTTTTAAATAATAGATTATTATTATTCCCGCTGTGTAAATTGCCACTAATGACTTACTAGTCGAATGGTAGGTCATACGATTAAATTACCATTTCAAATATTTAATTTAAGTATACCAATATTGTACCAATGACCTAAATAGAAGGTAGGGTTTTCAGATACGATGAAACAATATTCTTGACTTATGTGGCACAGACACGATGGCAAGTCGCAAGCTGTTTTATCCAAAAGTAAATATTCACTTCGTCTATGCGATACTTTTGCAACTAATACTAAATTTGTAATACTAAAAACGTCTTAAAATTATATTTCTTATGTGCCTGACAATTGTAACCAACGAAATCCATATTTAACTAATTTTTAGAAATAAAAAGAAGTAATGTCTACATTTGCATCTATATGCTTCATTTATCTGCATATACATACATAATGCGTTAGTCTTCCTAAAAATTAATACCTTACAGTTGTATTAAGAAAACTGTTGTTCTTGTTATTGTTGTTGTACTTCATACTCATATACTCATACTCCATATTACAGTAAACAGTAGGTAATTATATCTACACCTACTGGCTGAATAACTGAATAGTTTACGTTTTTAGTTAATTTTTGGCCCATAAATAACACAATGAATTCCATGCTTTTACAAGCAAATTTTTTAGAAAGGTAATATGTAGTAATAATTCACGTTTTAAACGAACTCTCTATTTAAACAAAGTTGCCCAAATAAATTACACAAAAATTCACCTCAAGCTTTGAAATGATCTACTGTCAATTTTAATGGCGAGAAATTGTTTGAGGTATATCATAACTTCTCAAATAATGGATTTTACGCATCATATAGGTTTTTTATTCGCTTGACTGAGGCAAGCTAAAGTGTACGCAATCAAACAAAACTAAATGTACAGACAGTGTTTACACATATACCTACATAAATCCTGTAGTATACAACAGAAGCCACGCTGGCTCTGATATCGTTAACCATCTGGTATACCGATGACCAGGGTCCTAATTTAATTTGTCCGATTACATACGCTTTGGTGTGCTCCTAGCAACGACCCTTTTTTATTTTCTACAACTTTCACGCTTCTTTGTCTCGCTCTCTCATACTCTCAATCTTTTTCTCTCTCACTCATACTTTAACATAATTCTTATTTTCTACACTACCATCTGGCAACCATCATTCCGACTTACTATAGACTACCCTAATCCCTAAGCGTATAATACGCTAAAACACTTATTTTAACACAAAACAAACTTTTAAAAATCGTCAGCCACTAGGCATAGATGTATCTACTATTTTATTTATGTGCCCACATAAATAAGGCTCGTTTTGGACCACAGCTATTTACGCAATTTTGACAACTTTTATATATGTACTTATTTTTATACGTACTGTTTATTCAGGACAGGTGTGCCATTACCAGCCGAAATGCTGATCTTACTTGCTGTTTTCTTCCTCATGGTTGCTAATCATGCTAGACTAGTAGAAGTTACTTCCCGTCTGGATTTTTTGTGGAAGCAACAAGCCGAAAATGAATTAGCCGACATGCAAGAAACACGTCAAAACAATGCCCAATTATTAAAAAATATCCTACCGGATCATGTAGCACACCATTTTCTTCGAAGCGAAAGAGCAGCAGATGTAAGTACCTAATCCCAAAGAATCCGTTAACTTTTAATTATAAGTTAATAAATAAAAATTAATTCGATCCTACCCAAAATCTTACAAAATATATCAATACATGTAATTATAGCACGTCTATGTTCCATTCATCCAAATGTCGACACACTAAATTGATTTAATAAATAGAAGCTTTGTTATCACCATCTCTCTTCCTCCTCGTTTAGTTGATGTAGCCTAAGCCGTATTTGCGCATTTTCAAATTACCATGCACCTCCGTATTAAAATACCATTCTGGTGAAAATGTTTATTGCACTTATCGTTAGGTACAAGAGCAACTCAATAAGTGTCTGTTTTGGAATGAAGACGCCATTTTTTCAAAAACAAATTCTTTATTTCTAAACATAGTCCATCTTTTTAGATAAACAATTCACGGAACGTCGCTGTCAGTGTTGTTTTGTTGAAATTAACATTTTGTGTTATGTGTTATCTAATATGTATTTCCAATTCATTTAATGTTTAAAAAATCTTCCCCCTGATTTATTCATGTAAGTTTTTCATAATTGGGTCATTTTAAGTCATTTCCAATAAGAAAAAGTTGCATTTTTTCGAAAAAACGGTGATACGGAAGTTTTACCAATTTATTTTGACACGCCTACTCATACACACACTTTTAGATGTATGTATGGACAAAATCATCAAACCTCGTGTTTTAAGGTAGGTGGCGTTTTATATTTCTAAAAGGTTATATACGTAAACGTTTCCACAACAGACTGGAAAAGTAAGTTTACTTTTCACGTTCAATGCTATAAGAAAATTTGCTTGAGCCCGGGTTAACTTTACTTGAAAAGTACACAGTTTTAAAAGATGCTTATGTTGGTAGCTGAAGCGCATTGACTAATGTTAATCATCTCCGCCAGAAAAGGAATGATGAAGTGTCAAACAGGTTGTGATCACTTACAGCCTCTTAAATAATAATGCATATCGCCTCCATACCCCTATATGTTTGTGGACTCATGGATGAATAAAAGCCTTGTCGAGGTGCCTTTACTTTAAACGCTGTTCCATCATTTTTTTTAAACATCAAGAGTCCTAGAACGTTTAAAAGAATTTTTCCTTCCGAGTAAGCTCTGAGGGAGCTCAATGGCGGGACCTTTTTTCTGTAATGATTTTTAATTCTTTTGCTTTGTGCCGCTTTTAAGATCACAACCTTCATATCCCAGCAAATGCAGGAAACTTTTTCGTGTGGAGTTTTTGTCGGGGAGGAGATGCCTCGATTGTCTGAGATCCACCCACGATTTTGCATGTGAGATTAGCAAAAAAAAAATGCATATGTTTCATTTCCCATCACAATTGTCCACAAAAAAATATTTTATTGTGCTATGATGAAACTAAACACTAAAACGTAAAAATTACAAGACATTTATTTCACCACACAATGACTCAAATGGAAAAATAGGAAATTTAAAACTAAATACTAAACCTTTATATACTTAAAGGAAAAGGCAGGGTGGAGTAAGTGAAAAGAAAAAACTTCTGTTGCCGGAAGAGGCAGCTTGTTAAGACCATTTCACAAAATTTACAACACGTCATAGAAATGGACGATACGGAGTTGCTTTACTATTCAACGAAAAGCAACAACAGCTAATCGAATCTTATAGCTTGGTGTTGAAACGATTGCATTCGCTAGAGAGACGATTTGTGAAAAATCCAGACCTAAAAAAACAATACTTCTCTGTCATCAATAAATATCTTAAACAGGGTTACATGGATAAAATAAGGGATACCTCTATCGAAGGATACTTCCGCATCAGGCTATCGTAAATGAGAGCAGTATGAAGGTCCGAGTAGTCTTCGATGCATCGGCATGTTCAAGCACAGGTATTTTCTTGAACGACGCGCTTTTCAATATAACATTTTTTATTGCTTTTAAGAGTTCGGCTACATAACTGTGAACTCACAGGAGACAGGAAAAATGTATTTACAAATTTCAATCCAAAAGCTAGTTCAATCTTTTCTTATGGCGTAACGAAAACGAATCTATAACACTATATCAATTTGATCAAATAATTTTTGATGTACTAGATGTTTGCGACAATTTTCGGATAATGAAGGTCCCAAATATCCGGAAGTGGCACAAATTTTGAAACGTGATCTATACTTCGATGCTCTGTTAGCCAGCACTAGTACCATTCAAGAAATACTACAACTTCCAAAACAAATTACAGAACTGTTATTTTGTAAAGACTTCAATCTGAGATAATGTGCTTTTAATTCCGAAAAGGTTATGCAGACAATTCCCAACAGAAATGTTAACTTATTACTACAAGACAACGAGCACGTAACATTAAATACCTTGGGAGTACAGTGAAGGAATATGGGAGGCGGCCATGAAGTCTTTTAAACTTCGCAGAGTTTGCGGAAGTACGTTATTCACATATGAGCAATTTAATACTTTAGTCATTACAATAAAATTCATCCTCAATTCGCTTCCTTTGACCCCTATGTCCTCTGATCTGCAAGACCTATTACTACTAACCCTCGTGTATTTTCTTATTGGTGATAGTTTTAGCAGTTTACTAGAGGTAGATGTTTCGATTGTACCTGATAATCGGCTGTCCACTTGCTAGCAGATTCGAAAGATAAAGCAGTTGGCAAAAGGAAAACATCAGTGAACTAAACAATCGGCGTAAATGGCTCAAAAGAACCCAGCCCATTCAAACAGGATGCATGGTCTTAGTGCGCCACGACAACGTATCTCCTCTGCAATGGCGCTTGGGTTGTGTGATAGAAGTGTAGAAGACAATGTAATCCGTTACAGTTTAAGTATCAAGTATCAAGTCTCAAGTGTAAGCAACAAGTAACGATCTGCAGTAGAACTATTACAATCAGGTTTCTTGCCCAATTTTCCTAAGAGTTTTCTAGAAGTGTTTAAGTGGCCCATAGTTTAAGTTTTAGTGAATATTTTACGTATTGAGCTTTAAGTGTTAAGTGTTTTAATGAATGTTATTTACGAACGCGATCGTGAGTTTCAATCATACATCAAGTTCGTCAAACCAGACGTGAACATTTTGTGTAAACGAAAGTTTCTTATTGCAATTCAAATTTGTTCTTAACATTATGGTCTATCGTTATTATGTTTTAAGTAATCGAATGTAAAGTGCAAATTGTAATGAAGTAGAAACTCATCCAATTTAGAATTAACACGTACGTATACCACATGAAACTGAAAACAGAAAATGTTAAGAATATTGCTGTAGGCTTTAGATTTATATATGTGATGAAGACTACTAGAAAGCAACTGCTTTTACTAGCAAAAACTGTAGCTACATAAAATCTGTAATAAAACATTTCTTACTGTGTTGACTTTACATCTTAACCTTCTTCCATAGAGACAAATTAGAAACAGTAATGTCACTGCAGTTGTCTGTACACTGTACGATAACTTTTAATTTCAGGAACTATACTCGCAAGAAAGGTCACAAGTAGGTGTTCTGTTTGCAAGCATTCCTAATTTTATAACGTATTATTCAGAAGACATCAACAAAGGAATGGAGTGCATACGACTACTAAACGAAATAATTGGTAAGAATTTCTCTAAGATTAGTATTAAATTAGTATATTTGCATAATGTATTTTAGCCGATTTTGATGAACTATTAGATGAAAACAGATTCAGTTCTATAGAAAAAATCAAAACTATTGGATGTAGTGCATCATATATGGCAGTGTCCGGCCTTAATCCAGAACATGAGGTAACAGTCTACCGATTAGTCTAGGAGAAACATTTTTCATTGGTTATTTATTTATTCAAAGCCTGTTTTCTGTATGAATATTACGGGAACTATGTATAGGTGTCATAGACGAAGAAGGCAGAATACCAATTTACAGAAAAAATTATTACATACATAATAACTGTTTATTTATTGAAGGTTGCAGTTATATTAAATGGGTTACAAATTACCCAAATGTTGCATATGAACGATAAAATATGGGTATTACTCCTTGCAGAACGATTTCAGCGTCGGTGACGATAACCAGTACTGCTTAGGAAGCAGCTATCTGCTTTTTGAGCTAAAAAATGTTTAGTTTCAAACATATAATAACATGTAGCATAACTACCTTTCTTTTCTTCAATTAGTTAATAACCTTACTTGATTATCTCCTACACTAAACATTAAAAAGGAACATATCAGTAATATTGTCCGACGGAAATACAGAAAGTACTGCTCATAGTTCTCCACCGTATTTTATAGATTCACAATATAATGGATCATCCTGTCATTAAAATAGTTCATGCCTGTTCAGACTCATTTTTTTGCAAATGAATCTAATATTTGCCCCACAGCATCAGGGATAAGAAAATGTCGGAACAATTCAGTAATGATTGACATTGAACCAGCAGTATTTTGTCGATGTCACTAGAACTTACACTAACATCACACAAAAGTTACAACAAAAAAGTTAATGAACTACTTAAACAAATACAATTTGGAGACAACTTGCCTTCATATTTCTTGGGCGAATTAAATAATTAAGCTGAATGAACTTTAACTGGCAATATTTAAAACTTAAGTTTTTAGAAGATCTCTCATCATATGCATAGCCGTTTTAGCCATCAGCTCGGATCTAATAAAAAAATTACTAAAAATAGTAAAACACATCATGAGATGGTGGTTGTTTTAGAATAAACGGTATATGTTTCTAATTAAGAATGCAGTCTTCGTATTTGTAATACTAATAGCCTTCTTAGGACGGTACTGGACAAATAAGTTAAAACTGACATTTACTTGGTCAGGTCGTTTTAAAATGAACTGAATCTATTTGAGTCCGTGAAACCCTACCATCTAGAATATGGGAAGCGAAAGCTACTAGATGAACACTACACCACCTTTTCTAAATTTTACTATAATATTATTCTTATAACGATATAATTAAAGAATATTTAGAGTATGTAAAAAACCTTAAAAATTGAGAAGTTAGTAGTAATGGTCCATTAAATCAGCACTGTGCTTCTAAATAGCTCATATATTCTATTTAATAAGGCTAGGAAGTATTATTAATGAATGAGACATCAGGTCTACATCTGATCTTTTAAAAAAATATTAAGAAATGCTTGTTGAAGAAATATTCATATCGACATACATGTATTGTATATAGAATACTTTCATTACTATACAGGAGTGCATAAATACGGAAGGACCAGAACATCTTTGTGCTTTAGTCGACCTTGCATTTGAAATGAAGCAAAAACTTGAAGATGTTAACAAGCATTCGTTCAACAACTTCGGATTGCGAACAGGAATTGCATGCGGGCCCGTGGTTTGCGGAGTAATTGGAGCAAGGAAACCTGTGTTTGATGTATGGGGAAATACCGTTAATGAAGCTTCTAGGATGGATTCCACTGGTGAAATTGGAAAAATTCAAGTACCGAAAGAAACTGCCCAGGTTTGATATCACTTGTTCAAAAATTTGTTAAAAATGCAATTGAATTAAAATTTTTAGCTTCTTTCTCTAAGAGGTTTTGATTTACAAAGAAGAGGTATTATCGATGTAAAAGGTAAAGGAAAGATGGAAACATACTATGTTCTGGGACGAAAATTGGGCAAAAAGACAGGTTTCCAAAGACAACCCAGCCAATACAGCAGCTTGATCGCTGTGGTGTATGCCCTGGCTCAAGCAAAAAAAAAGCAAAATGAAAACATTCGTAGGTATTAAAATTATAAATAGAAAAAAATTTTACTCTTTAATTTTCAGCCGGTAATTCAGTTATTGTCAGATCCAAATCACAGTACAGACAGGATTCTTCAACGAAAAAAAGGAATTTAAATTATAGTTCTGTTAGACTTCCAAATCCTCACGTTAATTTCCCAGTTAAAAGAACTAATTTAAAGGGTAATTTTTTAAGGTATGTAGAACACATTACATAAAATACATGGATTTATGTAGACAATATATTTTGATTGCAAATAATATGACAAGAACAGGATAAGGTTTTACCAACTAATAAAATTCAATTAACTTTCAATTCTGGTTATACCAGCAATAGTCACTAACTTGTTAGCTTAAATAAAACGTCCTTTATTTTATTGTATCATTGAAATTTTCGGTTAATTTAATTAGTTTAATTGGTAAGTGTTATAGTATGACTACCTGACTAAATTAATAATGGCTAAGCATTTTCTCTAAATCATAAATGTGAATTTCCTTTATTTCTTCTTTTTTAAATTTTGACCATCTGTCCAAATAAGTTTTGAAACAAAGCTCGCGTCTTTATTTATTTTTTGATCACATTTAATTTCATACGACAGGTCATTAATAAAGACTAAAAACAGTAGAGGAACTAAGTTAAATTCTTGCGGTACCTCTGATGTCACAATGTAACTTATTGACCTATTTTTTGTGCCTTTAAATAAACCAATTAAGCCTAATTTATGTAGAAGTAGGTTGAAATCAATTGAATCAAAAGCTTTCTGAATATCTGTATAAATCACGTCTACCTGTCCTCCATTATCTAAGGTTTCACAAATTGAATAATAACAGCTTTATTAGTTATAGTTGATTTTTTGTCGTGAGCGATTCATATTTATTGTAATAAGGAATCCAATCATTACGTGGGTAGTAGTTAATTAATTATTTATCGTGGACGTTTCTATAACCGCCACTGTATACATTTCCTATATGTACAATACTATTCGTTTAGCTGCAGTTTGGATGCAGCGCATTTGCGTGGTTTTAGAAGAGGCCGTTAGTGGAAAAAGTTTTGACTGCAGAGGATATTATGAGTTGTTAATATTTAAGTTAATGGTATTGTATATAATGGCAACAGTTTCATATTTGTTTTAGAGCTGAGATATTTTTATGATTATTTTCTATTATTGATGTAGATTTAGAGAAAGCTTTTGACAACGTAAAATGGGACAAGATGTTAAATATACTTAAAAATGTAGGGATGAATTACAAAGATAGAAGAGTGATACTTAGTTTGTATAAAGAGCAACAGGCAGTTATAGAGCTGGGGATGCAACGTAGTGAAGTAAATATTAGGAAGGGAGTCAGGCAGGGATGCACACTGTCACCGCTACTTTTTAATCTATACATCGAAGACGCCATCAACATCATTAAAGACAGTACAACTGTAGGGATAGATGTGCAAGGGCAAAAGATTAGTATGCTTAGATTTGCAGATGATATAGCAGTATTAGCATCTAGCAAGGAGGACCTAGAGATAGCTTTAAATAAAATGGAAGCGGTACTGACAGATCAGTACTGTATGAAAATAAATAAAAGTAAAACTAAAATACTGATATGCAAGGGAAGAAAAAGTAGGGAAAGAGCGAATATAAAGATAGGAGACGAAAAATTAGAAGAAGTGGCTGATTTTAGATACCTAGGAAGTCAGATAAGTGAGGATGGAAGGAGTAGTAGGGATATAAAGCAGAGGATAGCGCAGGGTCGTGTCGCCTTTAATAAAAAGAAGTCACTTCTATGCTCGCGAACGGTTAATTTAGAAATTCGAAAAAGGTTGTTAAAGGTGTATGTTTGGAGCACGGCGTTGTACGGGTGCGAAACATGGACAGTGGGAGCGGCGGAAAAGAAAAGGTTAGAAGCGTTCGAAATGTGGTGTTATAGGCGGATCATGAGGATATCGTGGGTAGAAAAGGTTAGAAATGAAAAGAAATTGGAAACAATAGGAGAACAGAGGACTCTATGGAAGTCAATAAAAATAGGCGAGATAGGTTGGTAGGACACCTTCTCAGTTATGAAGGTCTAGTCAGAGACATATTAGAGGCAGAAACAGGAGTTAGGAGGGGTAGAGGTAGACCTAGATTAAATTACTGTTTGCAAATAGTTAAGGATGTGGGCTGTTCTAGTTTTAGGGAAATAGCTCAGGATAGGAAAGAGTGGAGGTACGTGTCCAACCAGTCTTAGGACTGATGACCTTATGATGATGATGATGATGATGTATAATGTTTTAGACTAGCCCTAACTAATCCAAATTTATCGATGGTGCATAGAGCACCATTCCTTCTACAACCTAATCTGAACCCTTACTATTTTTAGAAAAACAACCTGAGCTCTTGATCATATAAATCGGTAATCTTCAAAGTATTTCCTTTTAGACAACATTTACCGGATAGTGCAGTTTTATCTACGGCTTAGTGATGCATATAAAAACAAACCTATCATATAATCTTATCATATAAGTATAACTACCCGTAACCCGTCCAGAACAATCTTTTTGTCGGTGTTGCGTAGTATTTGACCCTTAAAATGCAGGCTGTAACAGAAATAAATATTCAATACTCCTTCTCAACTTACTAACTCTTGTATTCTTGATTAAAGTTGGTTTTTATGGCGACACATCCAATTTTTTATCATGAAGTTTGATGAACTGGGCCATTAGAAGAAGCTTTGTAAGAATATCAGCTGTTATATATTATACTAAACTGCCGTTTCTCGTACAAATGACGCACAAAGTTGTACTTTATGTTTACATGTTTAAGTTTTTTGTGCTTCCTCTTGGAGAGCAAATGAATAAAGGACTTGTTGTCTTCGTATATCGTTGGTAAAACATTGCTAACAACTTTGGCTTCTTCAAGAAGACTTTTCGTCCAAAGTAGATCGGATGTTGCTGATGTCAGCGCAGGATACTCAGCTTCAGTTGAGGAAAGTGCAACCGAGTGCAACCAAGGTCTGTCAATTGGTTATCCAACAAATGATGCTGCCAAAAATCTTTATAACAAATCCAGAGGTAGATTTCTGATCCATTTCCCTTCCAAAGTAAGCGTAGACGTAGCATGTTAGAGGTTTATGTTCTCCTACTTTTGTATACAAAAGTCCAAAATCAATAGTTCCCTTAATGAAACGTAGTATCCTCTTCAGGCATCTCCATCGGACTTCGTTTTGTTTGTGCTGCAAGACTTAAATCAGGTCTTGTACCCAGCATTTCCAATATTATACGCCCGACGCGGTCTCTGTAAGGTTTGGTGTCCCAAATTATGCCGTTTTCATAACTGAGAATGTGAGTTGTTTCCATCGGTGTGTCGGTAGGATTCGAGTTGTTAATCCCAAACCATTCAAGCATCCTTTACAAATAAGCCTGCTGGCTTAAATGAAGTACCTTGTCTAATCGTTTAATATATATAGATATGTTCCTGGTTCACCCAAATCTTTCATAAGTATTTTATTTTTTAGGGCTTTCTTGGTATCGTTTATTTTCTTTTATCGCTTACTTTAATTAAAATATCATCAATATACAAGATAAGGAAAATACGGATTTGATAGCATTCCATAATATAGAGAAATTGTCGATTGTATTGTTCGATGCTCTGGGAGCCTGTTTTAATCCGTATATAGCCTTTTTAAGTTTGCAAGCTGAGTCAGTTTTATTCTCAAAGCCATCTAGGATCTTTATAAATATCTCCTCTTCAAACGCGTTTTGGACATCCACGTGACAAGCTATAAAATCATCCTGTACGATAAAGGATAGAATAGTCCTCCGAGTCTTTAGTCTGGCTACTGAAGCGTGAACAATACCTTTTCTTGTACCGTTCAATATTTCTATTGTCATCTCGTTTCAAGTGGAAAACCCAC